GAGAATCTTCTGATCGACATCCTTATACCATAAAAGGTGCGATCTTCAATGTCCATTTTTGGTAAAATCCCTGACTGAAGTGCAAAATTAAAGAAAACCACGTTATAGTTAGGGTTAGGACTAGAATAATGTGACGTCTACAAGTAAAATTTTACAAGGAACATTTTTCATTAGACTACAGAAGGCTTCCTAATTAAAATTTAGAGCTATTGTTTTTTTGCTTCGTCTCGATTTTTACGTTACACCTTGATCCTGAAATTAGATTGGTCGTTATTACAAGGGTGGAAAAAAAATTTTGTGAGGTTTTGTCATGTCTGTCTTGTCACTATCCTATAGTACAAAATTTTCATTATACTTAGAACTTAGATGAATCACGCTATTCTTTTTTTTTTTTTTTTTACCTTTTTCTACTACTTTTGTATTGCCACTGTTGCCTTTATTTTTATGAAAAACTATATTGTGGCCTACTTGGTTGCAAATATGGCATTTATAAAACCCTATTGCTGGATCTTTCTTGGTATCCTTGCTCTTTTTTGATACTACTAATATATCGTTACTTTGGTGATCATTCTTTAGTGAAACTTTATTCAGATTCTTTATATTTTTAAGTTATATTCTAAAATGCGATTTCTCATGGTTATGTGATTGTCCCAGTGCATCTTTTTGCTGTGGGAAATCCCATATTTTAAATTGATATACTGCACAATTGGGCACATAGTAAATTTTTTTTAAAATATGCTTATATGGAGATCTTTTTCTTATATAAATAGTTCGGCCTAAACAAAATGTGATTACATATGGTGTGATTATATGAGAGGTGACTATATGAAGAGACGGCTGTAACTTTTTTAAAATTAATAAAAATTTTAAAAAATTCCTTTTTCAGATTTATTAATCATTAAAACAAACAAAATTAAGAGAAGATTTTGATTTTAGTTTTTTTTAAAAAAGTTATAACCATTTTAAAAATTTTAATATTTTATCCTGATTCGGACTATAAAGAAATCACCTTTTGCACACTAACAAAAAAAAATTTCCTTGCAAAATTTAGTATAATTTCGCCCACTAACCCTAAGTTACTTGATGCAAATAATTCCAGCCAATCAAAACTGAGTGTATCCGCGTTCAATTTTTACGATAACAGCCAATCAAAAATCAAGAATCTGCAGTGATAAAATTGGTGCGGCAGGTTCAACGATCACTACCCGAAGGTGATTTTGTTAGCAAAAATCCCATATGGCCTCATTTATAAGAAATTCACGTCTTCAGATTGTGTTTCGGCAAAAAACGTGTTTTTTAGTCAACTTTCAAAGAACAACGCTTCAATTAAAGACTAGAGGAAGAGTAAGACGCGTTCTTGTAATCATTTACTGCATAAATATTATAAATATCGTAAGATCTTGTTACAATAGCCTTTATACAACAGCGAGCTTATACTTTTACTCAAGAATTCAAAAACAACCCTACAACAAGTCTTGAATATAATAGCACGTCGGAAAGAAGTTCTACAGAGGAAGGAAGCACGAAAGGCTTTGCGCTTGAGACCGATTTTTCTTCTAATGCACTGAGTAACAAGGAAGAACAAACGGCAGGGCTGAATCTTTCTGAGAATACGTCGACAGAGCAGGATTGGTCTAAATCATTCTTTGGCTTATCCGTGAAACCTTTTTCAAAAGAGGTGACCGAAATTCTTTTGGCGCCAGTTGCTCCAGAAGATATTGAAATCAAACCCGGTAAATAGATATCTAATTCATCTGATTTATTAAAGAGTAAGTCAATAAGATTTATTCATTAATAAACACGAATTTAATAGACGGGATTATTTATTTGCCGGAAATAAAATATCGCCGTATATTGAATAGAGCATTCGGACCAGGGGGTATTTACGAATTGTATATCTAGTATTTATTACGATTATGTAATAAATAAATTAACGATGGATTTATTAGGATGGGGACTTGCGCCACGTGGTGAAATTTCAATCAGCCCAAAGAATTTATCACGGGAATACGCGCTAGTCTGTTGTGGAAGGTATTCCACCATTTAAAAAGCATAACGCTAATGGTTTATCTTGAACTAATTTTGTTTTCTTGGATTCAATAAATGAAGGCTTGTTTCAGTTGCTCGGGGCGAGCAAGATTATTTTGATTCCTCTGGTTTAGCTACCGCTACAGAAGGTGCTAAAAGTAATGCATTGATGAGATGTTGTAAAGATTTAGGAATAGCTTCTGAACTTTGGTAAGTTCCTAATAAATTAATGTATAAGTTATAACTAAGGAAATTATAAACGTGTCTTGTATAATAGGGATCCGACTTTCATTCGTGATTTCAAGAAACGTTACTGTGAGGATGTTTTAGCTGAGCATGTAATTACTAAAGTAAAGAAAAGATTGTGGAGGAAAAAAGGAACTAGTCTTGATTATCCGTATAAAGTCGTAAATGAGCGAGCGATCTAGTTCATATGGGCTGATTTGACTCCGATCACAAACAAATGTGATTATTGCAAACCTCATGCTGATTGGTTGAGTTATGTAATACAATATTAAAATTTAGAGCTTCGTAAAAAATAACAACTTATTATGTATTATTTTGTATTCAACAAGATCTTGGTTTCAAAAATCCATTTAAAATCCAAAATTCTTACTACAGTACTAATGACAATGTCAAAGGGTAGACCACGTGGTTTGTGATTTTCCGCCGCATCATCACCAAAATTTTCACACCCACGTAATATACGATAAAATCTTTTATGTAGGATTAGGGTTAGTATGAGGGTTAGAATTTAGTAGTCAAGATAGTAAAATTGCTTGAGAAATTTTTTTGTTAGAGCGCAAAAGGTAGTTTCTTATGTTAATTTTCGGAAAACAAGCAGTATGAGGGTTAGAATTTAGTAGTCAAGATAGTAAAATTGCTTGAGAAATTTTTTTGTTAGAGCGCAAAAGGTAGTTTCTTATGTTAATTTTCGGAAAACAAGCAGTATGAGGGTTAGAATTTAGTAGTCAAGATAGTAAAATTGCTTGAGAAATTTTTTTGTTAGAGCGCAAAAGGTAGT